CTGCCCAGAGGAGGGGACGCGATTTTCAGATGAAGGTGGTGTTTGGCTGGGATTGGCTCTGTGACCACGTTATAAAGTCTCTTCATGTGGATGTCTCAGTCAATGTTCTTGATAACCACAGTGTGGCAGATAAGGAGCAAATGGACCTGGCGAAGTGAAATGACTTGCTCAGGGCCACAAGGTGAGTATGTGGGAGAGCTGGGCCCCTGTACTGCTTTTCCTTCCCCCGTGTCATGTGGATCATCTGACTTCTGAGGGTCTCTCGTTCATCCGGTCAGAGCAATCCCCCCTCCCCAGTGGTACCAGGACTGACATCTCTCCGTAGCAGAGGACAAAACCCAGGCATTGAAGGGAGCGGAGCGCTCCAGTGCTGCCAGCCCCCCTGCTCCGCCGCACATCTCACTGCAGCTAATGAATTGCTAATACAATTTTCCAGATAATTTTATTTCCATAGTCCCACATTTTAATGTGTTTCCAAAAGCTAGCATTTATTTGCTTAATCTCCCAGTGTAATAGAATCTGCCCTGACTCATCATACATGCGAACAATCAGCTAGGCTGAAACGGCAGCAAATTGTTTAATAACTCACATCTAGTCTCTAGATTTTTAACTCGCATGCACCAATAGCTTTTCTTGTGTCTCATCCACATCTCCCCCGCCCTTTCCAGTTTTTTAAAAATAATTTTCTATCATCATAGCTGTTAGTCTCCAAGCAGAAGAATGGGGGAAAGTGGATACTGAGTCTCAGAGCCCTTCCTTTCTTCCCCTGGGAGCTTTGGTTGGTAGATACGTGGCCACGGAACACCCCTGCACCTTGTGGAATGTCCCAGGAAGGGGACAGAGACCACTGTAGGGACATCACAGCATTTCCTTTCCAGGGGGTGACCATCTAACTTCCAGCCTATTGGCCAGGTGCAAAACCGGCCACCTGGATTTTGTGTGTGCCACCCCTCCCCTGCTGTCCACCTTTCTAGGAGTTTCTCTCTCCCTTCACCCTGGCAGCCTCTGCCCTCCTCTGGTCCCCACCCTCCTCCAGTGGCCCATCAGCCCTCTGGCTGCTTCTCACCACTTGCTGCTGCTGTCAGCCACTACATGTGCCCAGAGTCACTGCCTTCTAACACAGGTCGGATCGTGCCGGCACCACTCGTCTGAGTCAATTTGGGCTACTGTAACAAATGACCATGGACTGGCTTATACACAGCAGACATGCACTGCTCACAGCTCTGGAGGCTGGGAAGTCTGCGGTCAGGGTGCTAGCATGTTCGGGTTCTGGTGACGGTCCTCCTCCTGGTTACAGACTGCTGACTTCTGTGTCCTTACATGGTAGAAGAGGCTAGCTAGCTCTCGGGGCCCTCTTTTACAAGGACACTCATCCCATTTTAATTATCCAATTACCTCCCCCAGGCCCACTTCCTAATATCATCATCTCGGGGTTAGGATTTCAGAAAAGGAATCGGAGGAGACCCAAACTTTAGGATCATAGCAGTTCTCGGTCTTTGTGGCACTACATTGCCTGTAGAATAAAGTCCAGCCTGCCTACGTGGTGTGTGCTGCCCTCTGTGACCTGACGCCCATCACCCTCCCAGCTTGTCTCCATTCCCCAGGGCCTGTCCTCGGCCCCATCTGCTCTGACACTTGCCTGCACCGTCTCTCTCCTTAGCCTGGCACATATGCCTCAACTTCTTGTCCTTGGCTTCACAGAGACTCTTTACTTTTCAACACCTAACTCAAAATCCCAGAAGCTCTTGGAGTCACCCTGCCTTATCCTCTGGGTGGTTGTCAACTCGGCATCTCCCATTTGTCTGGGACCTGGTTTCTCTGCTCAGCCTCAGCATGCCCCTGGTCCCCTAGCACAGTGCCTACACTCAGTGGTAGCTCAGTGAGTTGGCTGAATGGACATGAAGTGGGTTCAGGCCACCCTGAGAAGTAGGGGCAGCATCGAGGGCCCTTGGGAAGACCAAAGGGGCAAAGTACCATGGTCTGCCGTGCTAGGTGGTATTGGCCCTCAGAGAATCTCTGGATCTGGCTGTACTGTATAGGCTCAGACGTCCCACTAAGAATGCCATTCATGTTCCCTATGGCCAGGTTTCTTGCATGCAGGCAGGGGATCTCAGAGGATGCATAAGGAGAAGCCTTGGCTCTTAAAGGGCATGGCTGGCCCCACTGATTTAAGGTAGCTGTTTGAACACCTGGCTTAATTGGGCTCTCTGTGGGGTGAGGATTAAGGGCAGAGAGGAGGTGGATGCTGGGGACCCTCAGGTTGAAGGAGCAGGGGCCGCCAGGCACAGAATGCATTGCAGATGCCCTCTGCTCCTGTGTATGTAGGTTAGGCAGGGAGGGACATTGAAGACTCACTGTCAACTCTTGGCACTGCCTCTGCCCGGAAAGATACATCTCCCATTGTGTCCCTCTCCAGCAAGTGGAGCTGAGCACCCTACTCAACACTTCCGAGAGATCTTGGTGGCTCCCACTGGGGTTGAAAGGCCTCAGAGAGCTATGACTTTTGACCCAACTCCACTCCTGGCCAGGGGTTCTGGCCATTGCTGGAGCTGTACTAGATGCAGGGTGCTCTGTACTGTCCTTCCTGGGCCTCTTCTAGGGTAAGCCCAGACAGGCAAGCTGCCAGCCTCAGAGGTAGCATTGAGCCCAGCCCCATAGTTTCTGAAAGCAGACAAACCGAGATATTTTCAGATCCCAACTCTGTCTCTTTCTGTGTGATGTTAGGTGAGTTATTTAATCTCTCTGTTTTCCATTAGCAAAAAGGGGGATAAGAATGCCTGCCTTGTAGGATTGCAAGTTTTAAATGAGCTGACAGCATAGATAAAGCACCTAGCATAACACTTAGTTTTGCTCCCCTTCCTTCCTGCTTTTTGATGGCCAGGAGCAACATCCAGTGCTGGCTGCTATTCCCCTCCCCTACTCAGCCTTCATGATGCTGGCGAGATGGAGCATGGCTCCAGGTACTTGGACTTCAGTGTCTGCAAAGGGAAGGGGTATCAGGGTGGGTGTGGGGACACAGAAGTGTGGGGGACAGTGAAAGGTGGGCCTTGCCTGCCTACTAGTTGGTCCTAACCCAGCCATGAGTGGGACGGAGGTGTTGAGGATCAGACCTCTCACTTGCTATCCTCATCCATGGGCCAGGAAGGCAGGGAGGTTCTTCGTGCCATCCCTTCTCGCCTCCCTACCTTGCACCAGACACTTCCCCATTCCACGCTGAGCAGCCCATGGCTTCCAGCAGCCAAAGCTCTGGCCCTCCCTCCACTCTGGACTGGACTGACAGATGCTAGGCCTATCTACCTTTCCTGCTTGTGTCCCCCACACAGGGGACAGAGGTGTGGGGCCAAGGGCGCGTGACCTCACACCTCTGTTTCCTGTGTGGGGGACACAAGCAGGAAAAGTAGATAGTCTCTGTGCTGGTGCGTGCAGTGCTCACTCACCAGCACAGAGACATGCAGATGGGCCTGCTAGGGAGCTGCTGTGCTCAGGAAAACAGCCCCAAAGGGTGGACAACAAGCTGCCAGTTAGGACTCAGACATGAGGTCAGATACTTCCTCTCGTAGTGCTGCAGCCAGAAAGGCCACGGCTCCAGAGCAGCATCAGAAAGGGGTTGATAACAGACAGATAATGGCAGCCTGCATTTGGGGGGTACTGTGGGGGTGAATGGCCAGTCAGGATTAGATAAAAGTCTCACACCATTCAACTAGCTTTAAATCCTTTGACAACTGCCCATCCAGTTTAGGATGGAACCTAAAGCTCTTGATGTGGTTTGCAAGACCTTGCATGGCCTGGCCCTTGCCTTTCCCTTTCGTCTCCTCCTCCTCTTCCCCAGCTGCTCTGCCCGGTCCTCCCACGGCCGCGTTTCCTTCTGGCCCAGAGTGTTCTCAGACACTCTTCCATCTTCTGGATTCTGCCATTCACCTGCTGTACTGGGTAACGTCGGTCACGAGAGCAGGGACTTTGCATGCTCTTCCGTGGTCATACCCCCGGTGCCACAAAGACAGCCTTACTTGTAGGAGGCACCAAGTAATACTTGTTGAATGAATAGACCCTAAGATTAATGCTTTAGTGAGTGGCGAAGTAGTTTAAAAAAGCAGGGTCTTTAGTTAAACTTGGGAAAGCATTAAAATCTAGGGTGCGTTGGTGTGAATCCCAGCTCTGCCAGTTATGGACTCTATGGCAGGGATCCCCACTGCCCCGGCTGTGGCCTGTTAGGAGCTGGGCTGCATAGCAGGAGGCAAGCGAGCAAAGCTGAGCTCCTTCTGCTGTCATATTAGTGGTGACATTAGATTCTCACAGGAGCGTAAACCCTACTGGGAACTGTGCATTCACGGGATCTAGGCTGCACTCTCCTTATTGAGAGTCTAATGGTAAATGTAATGCACTTGAATCATCCCGTAACCATCCGCCTACCGTACCTGGAAAAGTTGCCTTCCATGAAGCCGGTCCCTGGTGCCAAAAATGTTGTGGACTGCTGCTTTATGGGATTTTGGCCAAAGTACTTGATCTCTCTTGTCTAAAACATGAGGATGACAGAGGCTAGCTTTTGGAGTTGTGGATTTATATTAGTTATGTTAAAACAATGACTGGCCCACCGTATCTTTGTTATCGTTTGTCCTTGCTGGGTCTACCCTGACTCCCCCACATTCTGCCCCAGACTCTGTGACGTCCATCCGGTATGTACTCTCTTAGTACCCTGCCTTCTTTTACGTACCACCCAACACGGTTGCACATTACCCTTGCTGTTGTGATGCATTTGATTACTGCCTCTCCCTCTCCCGCTAGACTTGAGCTTCCGGAGCTCAGGAGCGATGTCGATTTTGCCATCACTGGGGCCACATACTGGGTGCTCACTGTTGCACAGCCTGGGCCAACTCTGGATTTGCCCCTGAACACGGGGATTTGGAGGTGTGAGTCCCGACGCTAGCTCTCACTCCAGATGGGTAAAGAACGTGCCTTGTGTTCCCACCCTCCTGAGGCGCCCCCTCTCCTGTCTCCCACAGGCACCGACATGGCCGTCTTCTGCCTGCTGTGTGGGAAGCGTTTCCAGGCACAGAGCGCACTGCAGCAGCACATGGAGGTCCACGCGGGCGTGCGCAGCTACATCTGCAGCGAGTGCAACCGTACCTTCCCCAGCCACACGGCCCTCAAACGCCACCTGCGCTCACATACAGGTAGGTCAGTCCACCTGACGGGTGGATCGGACCTCTGGGAGCCCATGTCTATATTTACCTCCAAGGACGTAAAGTGGAGGTGGTGGGCTGAGTCAGCCCTCAGCCCTTCTGCTCAAGGTTTAGACATGCAGGGGCTGCCTGTCGTGCAGGTAAATGTGGACAGTTCTCCTAGCCCTCTTCTGCGGAAGTCTTGCCGTGTTCAACACAGGATGCTTGTTAAAAAGGGAGACTCTCGGGTCCCACTCTCAGAAACTTTTATTCCGTGGGGCTAGGGGTGGGATCCCAGACCCAGCATTATTAGTAGGTATTCCCAAGGGATTCTCATGTAGGTAGACCCAAAAGGAATTTTGAGAAACACTGACCTGCTGGGTCTCTTAACAGTGTCTGCCCTGCCTCCCACCACTCTTGATGCCCCACACTCCATCCACACACATTTCTGAAGTCAGCTTCGGGCTTCTGAGGGCATGCTGAAGTGGTCCTACTTTCCCTGCAATAACAAAGGCCTATACTTGGACCTTAACCCTGTTTAGGGAAGACCAGGAGGTCATTTAAACGGTGAGCAGTGAAATATTGCTGCTCAGCCAGTTCCAGGTGATGGGACAAGGGAAGGGTTATGAGGTAAGGAGGCCGGGTGCCCAGGGGCTGGCCATTCCCTGCCGCCACCCTCTAGGCTTCATCTTCCCTAACAGGGGAGTGGATGGCTTATATTCCTTCTTTTCTCTGTGCCAAAACTGGGGCTCTGCTGACTTGTACCTCGATAAAGGAATGCCCATTTCTGAGTCTGCATGTGACTCTGCCTTTGTGTGCTGTGTTTGTAGGGAGTGGTGGGGTCAGGTCTCTATCTGGGTATGTAACAGAGTGTATACTCATAAAAACCTCTGCATGCCATGTAAAGGAACAGCAGTAGGCCCTCTCTTCATTTTGAGAGTCTTGTCACAGCTCAGAGATTGAGTATGCAGGCCAGGTCTTGCATGGGTGGCAGGCTCTGCTAAATAAGGGAAGAACTTTACTTCTCATGGCTGGAGCTGGCCTGGTCTGCCAGCAGTAGGTATCCTCATTAAGGAGCCTTCCTGGCTTTCACCTGTGGATGCCATTTTGTTCAGAGGAGCACCTTGCCTTAGCACCACCAGATTTCACAGAACTACTTAAAATTGCTGGCATAGGACAGAGGTAGTGCCCAGAGGGGCGGGCTCAATAAGAAGGGCCAAGGGTGGGATATTGACAAGGACTTTCTCTACAGCGACTGCATAAGTGTCTCCCCTGCAGGTATATGCACCTTCCTATGAACACCTCCCTCAATGGGTCCCTGAGTTCATTTAGTGTTACGAAAGATGGCTTGGCCAGGCGTGGTGGCTCACACCCGTAATCCCAGAACTTTGGGAGGCCAAGGCCGGTGAATCATAAGGTCAGGAGTTCGAGACGAGCCTGGCCAACATGGTGAAACCCCGTCTCTACTGAAAATACAAAAATTAGCCGGCTGTGGTGGCGTGAGCCTGTAATCCCAGCTACTCAGGAGGCTGAGGCAGGTGAATGGCTTTAACCCAGGAAGTAGAGGTTGCAGTGAGCCGAGATCACACCACTGTACTCCAGCCTGGGCGACAGAGTGAGACTCCCTCTCAAAAAAAAAGAAAAAAAGGAAAGAAAGAAAGATGGCTAGATACCTTTCAGCCAGTTCTGAGCATGAGCATGCTGCTGGGTCAAATCAGTTGGCTTCGTTTAACTTGCATGATCTCAGTCCTGCTAAATCCACCCAGAATATGCCCTGCTCTGTCCATGCCACCGTCTCAGAGCTCAGATATTAAAATGTCACATGCCCTTGTGTCAGTCATGGCACAGATCCCTGGGGAAGGGCTGTTTCCAGAGTTGGGGAGAAGCCCTTGCTTATTCTAGGATACACGGAGCGTGTGTGCTGCCTGTGCACACACAGAGAGACACCCACGCATTTTCACACCAGCGAGGCACTGTGCACACAAGCCATATACAGGCTGTGCACACCCCACACACAATGCCTCATTAATATTCCGTTGTTCTTGGCCCATTTGCTGCTGGGGCTGAGTGTTTAGCACCAGCAGCTGTGTTTGGTAGGTTAGTCCAGCCGTGCTCTTGGCATTGATGGATCCCTGATTCACACGGCTCATCATATAATAAACTCTCAGCTGTGCTGAAGGGAGGGACTGGGAGGGAGGGGCCTGAGGAGCCAGCAGGATGGGGCTGGGGTGGGGAGGACAACAGACACTAGGCTTGGCCAGTACCAGAGAAAGCACCAAGTAAGGACAGATTGGGGGTGTGGGGGGTCACAGGTGCACTGGGCAGGCTGGAGGGGGCTCTAATTAGTCTCGTTTGTCCTGCACTTAATGTCAAGCTCATTAAAGAGGCTACAGAGTTAATCAACATACCACAAATTGGATTTTGAGTTCTGCAGCCAGTTTTGTGTACATTATGGCCACACCGACACAATTAGCTCTCAGGGTGAGGATTTCATGCCAGGTGCTCACCATGCTTCCAAATCAGGATGGGGATACATGTGTGTTGGTGACTTTTCTTTCTTTTCTTTTTTTTTTTTGTTGTTGTTGGTTTTTCCTTCTAAGTTCTTTTTATTCTTTTCACTGGGCAGACTCAGGAGATTTCTCATTTAACATGTGCTCCACTTTATAATTAAATTCATAAAAATCGGATCAAACAAACTCCTCTGTCTTAACCCTTTGTTTTTTAAATTGTTAGGGACCCCTCTGGAGGTGAAAGGCACAGGCAGCCACCCCCTGCCTCCCTACCACACGCCTTCCCCCCGGCTGGGTGGCTGCCGATGTACGTTTTAATTACCGGCTCCGGCTGAAGTCTCACGTGGCCTTTGCTTTATTTATTTATTTATACCTTAATGAGGATACTGAATCTTTGATTAAAGTCGTAATCGTTGCCGATTCAGTAAGGAGGGGGAGTTGGCTGTCAGACCAGATGGGGCTGTGAGTACAAACACACAGAGAGAGTGGGTTAGGACACACACACACACACACACACACACACACACACACACACACACAGACTGGCCCTGACTGTATTAGACACACAACTAATTAGTACCAGGGTCTGCACGGGCCTCCACTCCCCTTGGGTTTGATAGCGCTGGAGGCCAGGCAGTACCCATGGCTCTGACAGTGACGATGGGCAGGTAGCAATTTCCCCAGCTGAGAACCCCAGGCCTTGGCTCATCCCCAGATCTGCAGGTGAGGGACTTGCTGGCCGAGCCTCTGAACCAGCACAACGCCCTATAGATAGGGGTGAACTGGTGCCAAGGCCTGATGCCACTCTTTGAGCTTCTCCCATCTGATTCCTGATTAAAGTGCCCCTCTCGTGGCATCAGCGCTTCTTGCAAATCCTCCACCCATGAGAAAGTCAGCCACTGAACAGAGCCCAGCATCCACTCCCCACAGAGCCCTAAAAACCCTTCAGAGCCATCAGAAGAGATGAGAATTTATGTGGGTACAGGGGCCTGGCTTTGGGAGGTGGGAGATTTGGTAGTGGACTGAGGAGGGGAGAGAGAGGAGAGAGTAAAATATCATTTTAAAAAGGAAGTGAAGGCACAGGCATGCGAGTCTATAACGAGAAGGACAATTTATGCCCAGGCACGAGCGCAGTTTGACATGGGGATAATGAAAAAACGTAGGTCATTGTGGATGACTTAAACCTTCAGCAGCTGAAGAAAATGTATGAAATGCAGAGGACATTACACGGTTGGCAGCCCCGCACATCTGCAGAGGGACAAGTGAAATACAGTGGGCCATTCTTTACCATAAACTGTGGTTGTTGGAGATGCAGCCCAGAGAAATTGTAATTACAGTGACAAGACGAATCAGCGATATTTAAATATTCATGAACAAAGTCTGGGGTGATCAATCTATCTTTATTGTCTGCGCCTTCATTCCTGTAATAAATAAGTAGCTGGAGTCCTCACCTTTCATCCCCCAAACCCTCCACTATGGGTATGAAATGCAAGATAGTTAATCTCCACACCCCAACCTCTCATGCTCTGGGGATTTAAGAGTGGGATCCTCAAAAGAGACCCTGATGGACTTAGATTCCAGACCTAGAAAAGGCAGTTCTCTCCAGGTTTCATAGGCCCACCATTTCCTGAGTCTGTTCTGGGTTCTCCCTGTGCGATGTCCTCAGGCTACAAGGATGGGTGAGGCTGGCTTCTTATCTTGGTGGTGCTTCCATGCTGGAGGTATGGTGGGCAAGCCAGTAGATACAGCACAGTGTGTCAACAAGCTGACAAGTATATGGTACCCGGACTCTGGAGCCAGACCCAAACCTGAATCCCAGCTCAGTTCCTTACTTGCTGTTTCACCTCAGGGATGATGTTGAAGCATCTCCAAGCATCTTATTTTTTCTCAACTATAAAATGAGAATAATATCTTTCTTTAAGGTTGTTGCCATGATCGCCTGATACGATCACATCACACATCTGAGTGCTCAGGAAATGTGGGCCATTTTAATGCGAAAGTGCCATACAAATTATACCACACTAATAAAAGAACAAAATTCTGGACATTTCTTCTCTTTGGGGACACAGAGGAAAGTGTGATTCATTCTGCCTGGGGAACTAAAGGGAAGTCCACACAGGGGTATGAACTGGGCTTTGAAGGATGATTAGGAGTTCACCAGGGAGAAAAGAAATTGAGCAGAGAAAACAGCTACGTAAGAAATTGGGGACTGTCGAAGGTATTTGGGAGACAATGTGAAGTTCTCCAAATTGGAGAGATTTCTTTGAAGGTTGCGGAGTCAAACTGGAGTGATTTTCACACTTTACCTAGAGGAACGGGAGAAGAGGCCATCTAAGAAGCAGGATGGTGAGGTCTCAAAGCCCTGAGGCCTGCTGTATGTATCCACGTGGGGGCATGCTTTCTGGGGGCTGCTGTCCATGCCTGAACCAAATGGGCTCTCTTTTCCCAGGACTGGCCCTTGCCCCACAGATGATCATGGGGCCACAGTAAAGTATGGACCTGTGTGAACACAGGTATTGCTTGTTTATTCAATGGAGGTGTGGATCTTTAAGTTGTCTTTGGAGGTGGTAAATACAGGTTGTCTCATCCCTTTCATGCACTGAATGTGCCCTACTGTCTCCTGTAGAGGGGGCAGGGAAGGGCAAAGACCTGATCCAGCCCCTTTTCCCCACAGGTGACCACCCCTATGAGTGTGAGTTCTGTGGCAGCTGCTTCCGGGATGAGAGCACGCTCAAGAGCCACAAACGCATCCACACGGGTGAGAAACCCTACGAGTGCAATGGCTGTGGCAAGAAGTTCAGCCTCAAGCATCAGCTGGAGACGCACTATAGGGTGCACACAGGTACCAAGGGCCAGGGAGGGGCCTGAGCTGGCTCTCAGACCTGGGTGGAGGTGGAGAACAGATGGTCTGTCGGAGAAGCCTAAGTGAGAATGATCCCAGGCTGAACCAAAGAGTAGAAGAGGTTCTATTAAGGGCTGGTATGGTGGCCTGAGGACCACCACACCCCAGTCAAGGCCAAGGCAGACATTACTAATCAATCCCAGCACACTTTCCAATGAGATCCCGCCAGCCCTCCAGGCAGCTATACCAGTAGTTCAGAGGTGACATGCAAAATGATGTCTATATGTGAGCACTTAGCTGAAAGTGAAGGTTAGGGTAATTTCAGTTGGAGTAAGAATTAGGGTGCATTGAATTAGGTTATTATGAAGGTTGGGAAATTGTAAAGTTAGCTTGTGTTTGGTTCTGAGATTAGAGGAGCAGATATATTTAATAATCCCTGTATGCATATGAGGTTTTACATTTCAGAGTGCCGTCACATTCTTTTTTTTTTTTTTTTTTTTTTTTAACTTTTACTCTTGTTGCCCAGGCTGGAGTGCAATGGCACAATCTCAGCTCACTGCAACCGCCACCTCCCAGATTCAAGTGATTCTCCTGCCTCAGCCTCCCAATTACCTGGGATTACAGGCATGTGCCACCATGCCCAGCTAATTTTGTATTTTTTTAGTAGAGACAGGGTTTCGCCATGTTGGTCAGGCTGGCCTCAAACTCCTGACCTCAAGTGATCTACCCTCCTCAGCCTCCCAAAGTACTAGGATTGCAAGTGTGAGCCACTGCAATCTTCTTGTTCATATTGGACAAAGAAATATAGGCTACTCTTTTTCCTGAGGTCAGAAGACAAAATAAGTGGAGGGTCTTCCATAGTTTCCCAGGTTGGGGGCAGTGGAGTCCTGGAGCTGCACTTGCTTTGTGAAAGCTAATTTTTCACATTTCTTCACAATTTCAAGTTCAGTGACATCACCTTAGTTGCTTAAAATTGGCCCGGGGAGGAGTAGTCACATCATAGCAATCGGCAGACGCTACAAACCAGGGCTATTTGGAAAGCCAGTTGTTAGACATTTACCACCAGCACACAGCTGGTTGTGGGGAAGGTTGATTTACAGAATAAGAGGTGGTGGAACTTGGAAAACGAAGATGCCCCCTCTGATCAGGGGAGACAGCTGTCCTGTCCAGAGGAAGGGGGAGAGGTGGCCTCAGGCAGATCCTGCTGGCTTAGAGGAGAGTACGTTGCCTTTAGAGGGGGAGGGTAGACAGAAGGAGCAGTAAGCAGAGCTGTGTGTTGTCAGAGCTCAGTATTCTTGCCCCAGTTTGAGCCCACAAGGAGAGGGTGAGGTGTCCATTGCTGACAATTATAGTGACCTAGAGGATTTCCCCGAGCCCTGGCGTTTCCTTAGCCCCTTGTCAGGGATGTGACCTGGCAGGTGGATCATTAACTGTATTGGCAATGAGTATTGTAAATAGCTGGTCGATAGTTAGATCACTTTGGCTGTTCATTACTTCATTATTTGCTGGGGCCTGTGCGTGGAGGAGTATTGATAGCGAGATGGCCGGCCAGTTAATTACTGTATTGAAACAAGGTCCCCTTACATCCTCTGCTCGGCTCCAGGGGACTCTGTGGAAGGAAAGTTGGGGTATAGAAGGCTAGGGTGTGGCTGTGCACTCCCAGGTTCTTTATTCCTCCCATCCCACCCTACCCCCAATTCCAGCCTCAGGAGGGAGGCAGGGTCCCCAGGGCGAGGTCTAGAGTTTTAGCAGGATAGTCTGGGTGCAGTGGCTCACGCCTGTAATCCCAGCAGTTAGGGAGGCCAAGGGAGATGGATCACTTGAGATCAGGAGTTCAAGCCCAGCCTGGCCAACATGGTGAAAACCTGTCCCTACTAGAAATATAAAAAGTAGGCCGGCGTGGTGGTAGCACCTGTGATCCCAGCTACTTGGGACGCTGAGGCAGGGGATTGCTTGAACCTGGGAGGTGGAGGTTGCAGTGAGCTGAGATTGTACCACTGCTTTCAAGCCTGGACGAGAGAGTGAGACTTCGTCTCAAAAGAAAGAGCTTTAGCAGGATACATGTCCCCAGGTGTAGCATATTTGAAGGGGACACTCGGGGTTTCCTCGGTTTCCCCCCACCCCTGCTCCCCACCATCACCATCTGTAGCCCTGAAAGGTCTTGATCCACCTACTCTCTGGATGGAACTGTGGCTTGTGACTTGAAGAGCCATTCCTGAGGACTTTGGGACCTTTCTCTTTCTAGACATCCATTTTCTTAATTAGAAAGGGAAAAGACTTCGGCCTTGGGAGAGTTGAGAATAGTAAGACAAGGAGCTGGGCAAACTAGCTACGTGTAGCTATTTAATTAGTTACCATGAAATAAAAGTTAGAAAACTGTAGAGCCCCAGTCGCACAGCCTCATTCATAGCCATGTGTAACTGGTGGCTGCCGTCTGGGGTGGTGCCTTGATTGTCCCAGGAAGTTCTGTTGGAGCAAGCCCAGCTGCAGGAACCCAGCTTCCCTGGCACCCCTGAGGGTGACTTGGGGCCCTCACTTGCCCTCTGCCTGTCCTCACTTTCTCCTGCCCCATCTCCCCGCCCTCAGGTGAGAAGCCCTTTGAGTGTAAGCTCTGCCACCAGCGCTCCCGGGACTACTCGGCCATGATCAAGCACCTGAGAACACACAACGGCGCCTCGCCCTACCAGTGCACCATCTGCACGGAGTACTGCCCCAGCCTCTCCTCCATGCAGAAGCACATGAAGGGCCACAAGCCCGAGGAGATCCCGCCTGACTGGAGGATAGAGAAGACGTACCTCTACCTGTGCTACGTGTGAAGCGGGGGCCCACGGCAGTGGAGCCGAGCGGGGAGCCAGGAAAGAAGAGTTGGAGTGAGATGAAGTCAAGGAAGGACTGTGAAAAATAAAAAAAGGAAAAGAAAAAAAAAGAGAAGAAAAAGGAAACCTGATAGCTTTTTGGCCTTGGATTCTCTCTGGGCTCCAGATGACCTGGATGCCAAGCCACTGCCCCTCCTCTGGGGGCCTCCACCCTCCCCTCCCGGCTGGAGGTTTGCCTGATTTTCTGCCATGGGGTGGGGTATGTCGTTCACTCAAATGGTGGCAGATTTTTCTCCTCTCTCCACCCAGTCCTTCCTTTATGTATCCAGAAACGGAGGCTAAGAAGCAGGTGAGAGGTCCTCTGGTCAGAGCCACACAGTCTCTGTCGGCCGTCCTCCTCCAGCCCCCCAGAAGATGAAGGGAGGGAGGAGGGGAGCCAGAAGGGCTCTCCCCTGCAGATCGGGCTGGGCTGGCTCACTAGTTGCTCAAAATGGCAGCTCTAGTTTGCTGGAGGCCAACTAGGGAGAGGAAGGGCTCTGTTTCTCTTCCCACCACTCAGCCCACCTGCTGCTTTCCTCTGCTCTGCCACATCTGGGTGTCCCCTGGTGGTCTCTGAGAGCCTCGAGGCCCCTCCCCCTCCCCCAGCTCTTTGTTCCCAGCCTCCCCTTGACTCTTGTCCTCCAAGTCCCAGGGGAGTCCCAGCCCCTCAGGGACCTGGCGGTATCTCCATCCTTTCCACTTCCCTAGTGGGACAGCTGCCTCTGACTCCAGAGCCCTCCTACCCTCAGCCTTCTGAGAACAGAAAACAAATAGAATACCCCACCCTAGTCCAGCCCCATCATGAGCAGGATTCCTGCTGCGCTGCTTCCAAAATGGAAAAGCATCACAACTAAATACCTAATATCCTACCAAACAAACAACAGCCCCTACAGCGGCCCTACTTCAGTCCCATGGAGGGTTTATGATCCAAGGGAAGGCTGTGGATGTCTTTCTCTAGAGAGGCCCTACACCTGAAGAAGAGGACACCCCGCCCGCCCGCCCCCCTGGGCTGAAGGAAGCTGGGCAAGGGAGGAAGTTGCTGAGTCACACTGGGGACCCCAGACGTAGTGAGCTCAGCAAGAAAACCCAGGTTTGGAGAGAGTCGCACAGAATTCCTGACTCATGGGGCTCCTCGGTCCACAATGGGGAGGAGGAGGAGGAGCAGGAGGAGGAGGAGGAGGAGGACGAGGACGAGGAGGACGAGGAGGACGAGGAGGAGGAGTTGAAAGCGCTTTGGCATTGTGTTATGTTTTGCTTCTTTTCTGTGTCCCCTGTTAGCACATTGTACTTGAATTACCTCAGTTTTTTGTGACCTCATGAGCTTTTTTAACCTCTGTTATCTCTTTTTTAGTTGGGGCTTGGAGGAATGGGGAGGGTGTTCTTTTCTGTTTCTTGTGTAAATTAATAGTTGTTTTTATAGACTTCAGCTGGCCAAGGCCCTCCCCATGCCCCTGGAGACCAGCCTCCCAGCTGGAAGGAGCTGCGCAGGAGGAGTTGATACTCAGGATCTGAATGGGAGGGCTGGGGAGGGCAAAAAAGTGGGTAGGGAGGGGATGTCGCACTGGGGTCTCATGGTCCCCAAGGGGCACTAGGGAGTCACTGTTGGCTCTGCCCGGGGCATGAAGTCACCTGTGGCCACCATCCGTTCAGCCTAAAACACTCTGGAGGGAATCCTACCTTTCTTACAATTTGCTGGGCCATTGAAGTTTGAGGGCCTGTACTCGGATCCTTGCAACTGTGTGGTCCCACCTCTGTGTGCATTCTCATTGCCAGAACTGGTCTGTTTTCACGGCCGGTCTTTGGGGAGGGGGCGGGATCCAGCCTTTGTTGTGTTGTGTTGGGGTGGGGGTGTTGTTTTTCTAAAAGCTACCTCTTCCGTTTGTCCAGTTGTTCTTTTGTTCCTTTCCCACCTCCCGTTCTGCTGCTCTTCCTCCCTCTTTTCCCCAACCTCCCCCCACCCTCCTGAATTTTGGAAAGCACATTTGCAATGTTTGTGTTTGCTTTGGGACGGACCCTCCGTTTCATCTCATGCTTTATGTGTAAGAGTTTTTATTATTATTATTTTTTCTTTCCTTTCTCTCTCTGAGAAAGTTGTGGCTGCGTTTTGATCTTAGGTTTTACAAAGTGATTTAGGGAAGCGGTTTGGGGAGAAGGGTCTCGAGGAATGTAGGGAAGCCAGAGGGATGGGTGCTGCTGTGACGACCCCCCTGTCCCTCGGCCCCAGCCCTCCTGCCCTCCCCTTCAATCTCATCCACCAAATCTGAAGGCCTTAAAATTGTGTGTTGGGGGGATGTGAATTGGGAGGACAGCGTCACTAGACTGTTCATTAGGGATGATAAAGTAGGGAGGATGCTATTTTGCAACCATGATCACGACTTAGTGTTTTGGAAAGGAAAAGAAGCTAAACTTGAAATATGTGACTAGAACAGTTGTCATGATTCTAATGTGAAAAGGGTGAACTCATTTGGGGGAGGGGCCGTCTGTAAGAAATCATTATGCACTATGGCTTCCTCCTCTGGTCTGGGAAGAAGCAGGGACTGGCTGGCCCTCAGGGGATCTGTAAATCCCAGAAAACAGTACTTTTAACAGCAAGATGTCATTCAACATGGGTGGGGAAGGAAGAGAAAAAAAACTATTCCGTAGAACTAGCGGGCCCCTCCCTCCCTTACCCTTCCCACTCAGCCTGGGCCCCTCCCCCCTCCATTCATAAAAGCTCAGAGGGTTGAGCTGATCTTTACAAATTGTAATATTTTTGTAGTATCTGTTAGTTCCTTCGTCAGTTCTGCAGAACCTTGCCCTTTCCTTTTGTAATGTGAATAGGAAGACAAAAGACAAAAATAAAAGTCCACCACCACCAAAATATCCCTTTGTACATGTGTGTGCGTGTGCGTGCGTGCTTTGTGTGTGTGGTTGTGTGTCAAATCATGCAGTATTGTCATAATCTGGTGTTGCAGCATTGGATAGTACTAAATCAGCATCTGGACACCCCCTCCCCCCCCACCCCCAACCCCGCTGCAGACCCCAGTGGGGAGGTAGGGGAGAGCTCGGGGGAATGTGGTTTCTGAGGGCTACTGTCTGGGGTCACCTCTGAACTTGCTGTACCCTCCTCTCCCCATGAAGACACCTGAATAGAGTGTAACATGCCTCTTCTCCAACTTCCTACCCACAACGACGGAACAGTTCTAATGTCACAAGGCCTAGTGGCCAGGGGGCAAGGTGAGAGCTTTAGAAGTGTCTGGAGTTAAGGGGGGAGGAGGAGGGTGGGAGGGTCTCTCCCAGGTGGGATCTGAATATCTCTCCTCCCCCCTTCTTCATGCCATCTGACTCCTTTGGCACCTGGCTGCCTTTAGCTGTGGTACTGCTGACAACCCTGCTTGCTACTGCCTTACCCAGCACAGTGAAAAACTTCTCCAGCCTGGCAAGGCCACGTTGGTTAATAGTCCCTTTCCCATGTCCAGCTCCTACAAGTGTGTCCCTTAATGCGTTTGGTGACATTTATGCCTCACTCATGTGCTCTTTCCCTAGCCACTCCTTCACTCATTCAAAGCATTAAAATCCTATGTATATATAGGATAGACAAATATATAGATATATATAGATATATATATAGCAAGAGACTGATATAAAATAGTAACTATCATTGCTGCTTTGGGCTGCTTTGGAGGAGGAGGAGGCCGTGAATATGGGGAAGGCAGATCTTGGGGTGCAGGGGTGGGTAGGGAGGCTGAGGGACCCAGTGATTCAGTACAATCCAAGGGATGCAACGCGGGCTTGTTTAATCTTTGTGCCTGAACAGTTTTTCCATGTTGAGAAAAAAAAGAAAAAAGAAAAAAAACACTGCTGCAATTTTTCACAAGTGTATGGTACCTTTCTGGATGCTATTGGTACAACTGCTGTGGATGGGAAAGGGTCACTGAGCGTACCTCCTTATAGGGGAGTGAGCAGAGGTGGGCAGCCTTTCGACTCTGTCTATGACAGGGTGGCAGGGTGAGGGGAGTCTTTGGGCCAGTTTCCTGGCAAGCCGAGCTAGGGTGAAAACTGGGGGCGCACCAGGATGTCAGACAGAAAAGCAGGAGATTAGACTCTGTTCATTCACCTTTCTTAGGCCCATCCTGTGGTCATCGTTCCCCCTCCCATCTTATCTCCTCCTTCCTGGAGCCTCTGCTGGCTTGGCTAGAATGGTGGCACTTACCTGGGTATTTCAGTGGGAGGACAGAAAGCGAGACTCACCCTACGTGGTGGGACAGATGGGAGGGGAAAAAAAAGGCAGAGATGGCCAGGAGAACGGTGCAGGACAAGCCAGAGAGGTTGGGTCAGGGGAGAGGGGTGGGGAGGAAGAGGGTGCAGTTCCTGCAGACCAGTTAGCCAGCAGCTGCGGCCTCCCCGGGCCCTTGGCATCCCACTTCGCAGACAGGGTACCAGCCTCCTGGTGTGTATCATAGGATTTGTTCACATAGTGTTATGCATGATCTTCGTAAGGTTAAGAAGCCGTGGTGGTGCACCATGACATCCGACCCATATATATAAAGATAAATATATATATATATATGTATGTAAATTATAGCACTGAGGGCCCCGCTGCCCTGCTGGACCAAGCAGAACTAAGCCTTTTGGTTTGGGTATTATGTTTTGTTTTGTTACTTGTTTGTTTCTGTGGCTTGTCTTATGTCGTGACAGCACAAGTGCCAGTCGGACTGCTCTGTATTACAGAATAGTGTTCTTAATTCATCGATGTTCTAGTTAATGTCTACCTCAGCGCCTCCTCTTAGCCTAATTTTAGGAGGTTGCCCAATTTTGTTTCTTCAATTTTACTGGTTACTTTTTTGTACAAATCAATCTCTTTCTCTCTCTCCCTCCTCCCCACCTCTCGCCCTTGCCCTCTCCTGTCTCCCCCTCCCAAACTCCCCTCCTCCCTCTGGCTCCCCCTCTCATTTTTGTTGGCTCCATTCTCTCTCCCTCCCTCCTTCCTTCTGCTGCCCGCCCCCCTCCACCCCGTCCCCAGCCCACTTCCCCAAGTCGTGCTTGCCGCTCCGTATCTGTTCTAGTTCCGAAGCAGTTTCACTCAACGTTGTGCAGTCCTGGTTGCAGCTTTCCGCATCTGCCTTCGTTTCGTGTAGATTGATGCGTTTCTTTGTAATTTCAGTGTATCTGACAAGATTTAAAAAAAAAAAAAAAGAAAAAATGAATTTACTGCTGCAGGTTTTTTTCTCTCTCCATGTGTCACTAAGTGAAGTTTGTGCCTTCTATAGCAAAGAGAATATTTTTTACATCCTACTAACAGTAGATTTTTTTGTAGTGAACATTTTTTGTATTTTTATTTATAAGTCTCATAAGAAAAATAGCAATGTTCAGTTGTATACCTTGAATCTGCAGTTAGAAGAGAATAAAGTTAATTCAGTTGTCTCTCGCTTCAAGTGTCTACCTTTTCATTGAAGTACTTGGTCTTTTTTTTTTCTTTTGCCTTTTCTTGGGTAGAGAACACGGTAGGGGAATTAAGATTTCTGTGTGGGGTCTGGGAAAAAGCTCTGTATTACACATATTTAGCCTTATTTATGTGGCACCTTTATGCCACATTTACAAGGCACGTGCACACTAAGTACCATCTCACTAATACTTTTAAAAGTTTGTTAACTACGTGAATATCATATGATCCTCGGTACAATGTGCTAGGTAGGCACTTGTTCCTTTATTCAGCAAGACCACTGTGTACCAGTTACTGTTGTCGGCACTGGGAATTACGGCAAGGGACAAAACAGACGAACCCTGGCCCCTGCCTGAGCTACCGTGCTAGCGAACCACTGAGTCGGACCAGTTGCTGTGTTAGGATGACTTGCTCAGGAATGCCCGGCTGGCAAGCAGCAGTCAGAACTCCATCCACACCCCCTGACACCAGGTCAGGTTCCTTTATTCCAGAGCCCCTGAGGCAGGGCTCTCCTGTCTTAGTCTTTAGAGAGACGTTGTCAACTTACTCCTTAGCAGCTAAGCAAGCTTCAGAAATTTCTCAACAAGAAGCTTCCACACAATCAAAGGTCCCTGCCTGTGTCTGTAGCAGCCAAGAGCTGTTAAGAAAGGAGATCAGAGCAGGTGGCCTTGTGCAGGGGAGTGGATGGGTGGGAGGCAGCGGTGTAAGCTCTGCATTGTCGTGGACAGAATAAAGGATTTCCACAACACTCTCCATGGGTACGTGGGTACGATTCCCTCCCTGCCTCCAGCCCTTTCTCTGTTCCTCTTATCGGGGGATGGAAGCATCACCCTACTCGTCTTTATCTGTAAAACCAAAGCCACTCCATCCTAGACATGGTGCTTCAGCGCCACTGCCTGAGGCTGTCCTCACTGCCGGTCTCTGACCAAAATAACCCCTCTCCTCATCAAGACCTAGGGGACGTAGCCATGATTGCCGTATCGGGCCTCTCCGACGTGGTAAGCCCATGCCAAGTGCCAGGCCTGGCCTCCAGCATCACCCATGTGCCACCACCACCCGCCTGGGGAGCCAAGCATGGCCTGGCCTGCCAGGGGTGGCACTGGGTGGGTTACCTTTCAGCCCTGTTCTGAGCCCAAGGCCGGGGTCTGTCTGCCCTTGGGGTTGCTGCGCAGAGAACCACCTAGAGTACGCTTATCCCTAGACAAGACATCTTCCCAGGAAGAGGAACAGAAGCAGCCCGGGGGCCTCCAGCCCCTAGAAGTTGCTTCTTTGCCTTTGCTTTCTCCTCTCCCTCTTTGCCGTCTGCTCTGCTCTTTCTTCATCCCTCCTGCCTCTCATCTTTTTCCTCCCCCAGACTTCTTTCTCTCCTTTCCACTCCTCCCCTCTCTTCTTCCTCTCTTGTCTTTTCTCCTTCCTTTTTGCTTTTGTTTCTCTGTCCCACCTGATTGTCTCTCTCCACATATTTCTCATCTGGGAAACTAGTCCGTAACTAAAATTCTGTGTTTTGATTTTGAGCGGCTGCCTCCATTCCCCCAAGCCATCCTGACCCCATCTTTTCACACACACACACACACACACACACACACACACACACACACACACACGCCTCCCCGCCCCTCCCCTAGCTCCCTTCCCCTCCCTCAGGCCTCAGCTTTCTCTTGACAGATGGGAGGGCAGTGAGCACTCCCTCTTTAAAACAACATTTAATCGCCGTTTTCTGTTCTTGGACATCAAAGCTGGGGCTTAGGCGCTGTGTTGGGGTCGTGGCGGCGCGGGCGCTGGGGGAGAGGAGGTGAGTGAATAGGGGCTGGGCTGAATGGGCTTTGTGTGACCGCCGGCTCTGCCAGCTTTACATGCTCTTTGACCCAGATATGATCTCATGGAGAGAAAGGGGCCCTGGCCAAGCCAGCCTGAGAATGCTCCCTCCGTGGCCTGACTCAACCCCTCTCCCCCCTGCCTGGGGCAGGCGGCCCTGAGGCCACCCCCTGCCAGCCCCTGCTGCTGCCACCCTCTACCCCAGCCCTGGCAATTGTGGGCAGCCTCGTCCAGAATGGATTTGCCAGGAGGGCACATTGCTGGGGTCAGAAGATGGGACAGGCACTGAGGCCGAGGCCGGGGCCCAGAAGACACCACTGCAAGGCTGCGGGGTGTTCTCCAGGGACCTTAAGCGGGAGCTCCCTGCATGCCCCGTAGTCTTGGCTGGGTTTAAGGATGTGCTTGGGTCATGTCAGCCTTAGCAGCTCTCCCGCCTCCCAGTGGCTCTGAGGAACTCCCCTCCTGTCCAAGGTGGAGAGCTGAGGCCCGCAGCCAGCAGAGGCTTGCTGAAGACTCGAGCAAGTTGCAGCCTGTGAGAAGAGGGATAAGGCCAGTTAAGTCCACGGTGGCTGGCTCCCTCCACTCAACATGGCCAGGCCTGCCATGTGGGAGCCCCCGACTCTGCTGGCACCAGGAAGGGAGGAGACTGGGGATCAGAAGATGACTGACCTCAGTGCTCTGCTTCTGCCCAGGCCTTCTCTCGGTTCTGTCCTCTGCTTGCTTGCTGCCCAGAGCGATTTTCCAAAAATGCAAATAGCATCATGTCACTCCCTGGATGAGAGTCCCCGGTGACTCCTCCGGACTCTAAAGATGGAATTCAAACTCCCTATCAAAGTTCCAAGACACCCTAAGTGACAGAGCCCCTGCTCGGCACCCCAACTTCATCCCAAGATCACTCTTGAGCCCCTGGGCCAACCCTTACTCTACTCCAGTCAATGGGACCACCGATGATCCGGGCCACACCGAGATCCATTCCCCTGTGGGCCTGTGCGTGTGCTGTGTCCTCTTCTGGGAGCTGCACAAACATGCACACCCCTTCTGTTGATCTCTCAACTTCTCGTTATTCACTCTTCAGCTCAAACCTTCTCTCTCTCAGGAAACCTCCTCTGGACCCCTGAAGCTGAATTAGCTGTAGAGTCTCTATAGTCGTCACCTGTTTCCTGAAATGTCACCATGACGAGACTGTCAGTTCCTTGAGATCAGGAATTGGGTGTTGTCTGTGTTCCCAGAGCCTCATGCTGCCTGGCACATGATGGGCACCCAGTAAATCTTTGTTGTATACATGGATAAAGAAAGAGAGGGAGAAGGATGGAAACAGAGAGGTAATTAGCACTCCATGGCACGTGCTGCAGTTGTCAGAGGCGAGTGAAAGCGGGGAAGCCGGAACATCACATGCCCACTCGGGCACCTCCCCAGGACACATGTACACACGCGGCAGAGGCCCAGTGAGGGCTCCTGCATCCCCACACCTGTGCCCATGTCGACTCATAGACCACCTGACCCGTGTCTGCCACGGTCAGAGGAAGGAGCAGGAGACAACAGGGCAGTGGCGCTTCATAGTTGGGAGCTGCCTGGGTGTTGCTCGGTGGGGTGGGGGGAGAAGTGGGGATGAGGGGTGTACATGTGACACCTGGTTCTCGGCCCACAGGGGCGGGTGCATCCCCCAGCTCTCTGTGTGGTTTCAGGCCCAGCCCCGCCGCCATCCCACTTCCACTTGTGGGCTGGCAGGAAGGCAGGCTCCTCTCCGGGCTGCGTTTTCTCCTCCCCAGGGGGTGCCTCAGTGAAAGTGAACTCGCTCATTTAAACCTGACTCTGCAGCCCTGCAGCCCCCTGCAGCGCTAATTACCCTGTAGTTCTAAACTGATTGCTGTACACTAAGCTTAAGCCCTCCTTTATTTATTTACTGACTACATTAATAGCAAAGCCACGCTGCATTCAGCCGCTCCCAACTGTACGCCGGCTGGCTGCACCCGTTCCCCCGTCTTCTCAGGGAGGTGGGGTGCAGAGATGCAGCCTGGCACAGGGCCCCCTTACTTGCACCCTGACTGAGTCCCTGGGGCCAGACCCCATGAGAATCATTGCCTTCATCCATACCGACTGCGGGACCCAGTGGGGCTCCTCTTGCTCTTGAGTCTGTGATAGTGGGAATACACAACACACAACAGCTCACCAACCACAGGGATCTGCTGTTGCCAACACACTCAGGATGCTGCCATTCAGCCTTCACTTGTGGGATGAGGTGCTGAGCGCTGGCCTCACTTTACAGATGGGTAAACTGAGGCTGTGATGCCACAGCTGGTAGGTGGTGTCTCAGGCGTGCGGCGCATTGAGGAGCTGGCCTCTCCACTTGACCCCACCCAGCCAGGTTTAACAATTTCCATTGTGTGTTCCCACAACTTCCACCCCTTGCCATGAGAAAGGGGCCCTTCCCTACGTGGAATTGAAACTGGTTGCTCTCAGCTTTTCTGTTTCATTCACCTGCTTGGCCAGAATTTACTGGTAACTTTGGGACGAGAGCCTTTCCTTCATCCTCAGCCTTTACTTTGCAGAACTAAGTTAGACTTTTGCATCCACCCCCATTTCCCTCCAGCACTCCCGCACCCGGGGATGTCTGGGGAGAGGAGGCCTGCTCCGGGCTCCCGTGTGGTCAAGTCCTGCCAGTTCTCCCATTCTGGGGTGCGGAAGTGCCCGTAACACACTGCTGTCCTTGCCTGCATCTCTGAGTGCCCTGAAATCCCCTGAGGCACAGCTGGGCCCTGGCCTTGGGGTACAGCAGCTCTCTGAAGACCAGATGGGCCCCATCGGGGTGCAGCATACCGACTCATGGAACCAAGCACCCAGGCTCTATCCACTCTGATGCCAAATAGCTTGGTGGCTGCCCTGCGGGGCACCCCAGAGGAAGAGGGGCAGCCGAGGTTTGGCAGAAGGAACCTGGGATTCAGTCGAGGGGACCTGGGTTTGAGGCCAGCTCTGCTGTGCACGGCGACCTTTGCTGCCTCTCAAAGGCTCCTGAAGGCCCCATTTCCTCAACCATGAGACTGGGGGGTCAGCAATACCTGCTCCACCCATCTTCAGGACAATTGTGAAGCCGACTATAGTAACGCACGTCAACTGGCTTTCTAAACACCACGGTGCTATAAACGGTGAGTTATAAATGGGGACAGGCTCT